AGTTATAGCATAAAAGATTTATTGCCTATTTTGGTTAGAAGATGAAAACATATCACATCTTAGAAGAAGCTTTTATTGTCTCAGTGTGCCGCGCCCGATGAAAAAACATCTCACTTAGCACAAGACATCCGGCCAACACGCTATGAAGGAGTGTTAAGGTAGTCTAAGCGGTTTTACCTGTATATTTCTCGTAGAGTAGTTTCTGCAGGAGTTGACTGTTTTCACTGCTCTCCCCTAGTGGGGCAGTCGCACCTTCCAATTTCCCTTGCTGTTTTTTAATGTCATCATCGTTACGCATGGCAAGAGGATCCAACTAGAGATGAAAGATAAATTTAATCATGCCTTAAATAATAGTAACTGTCAGTTATGCATTCTCCATTTCCCAATTCCTCATAATTCACTTTGTTTGACCCCAATGTTTTACTTAAACTATTATTTTTAGAGGCTCTTGGGAGGTCTGCATATTCCCAAGAGTAATTCACAACAACAGTTTATGATCGCGGGAGAATGTTGCACACATAGATCTGAATATTATGACTTTTAATTTATAATGATTTTATAACGCAACTTTTTCGTGGTTTCGAGCGCCTACTTCATCGACAAATTTAAAAGTGTTCCACTGTGTATTTACGCTAATAAAACTTTGGAATGAAATTGTTAACATTATCAGGCATACGTGGTTAACGTTTTAAAAAGGACAAGAGCGAGTAAAGTTGTTGTTGTTGTTAAGATTTTCAAAAAAGCGCGTAAAATCGAAAATTGTTCTGAATTTACTATGGAAGTGATGTTGAGAAAAAGTCTCCTTCCCGAGACCACGAAAACACAAGCCAACGAAAATTTCATGGCTTCAAAACATAACTTCAATGCAAATTTTGGTGTCTTTTGGGGCAATTTCATTAAAATATTAAACAAAGCGCATGGTTTGAAATGTTTTCGCGATTTCTTCGAAATTAAACATAACAAAATTTTATTTATTCTGGCATATTCCCAATGCCATACATCGTAATTTCAGAAATGTGCATCAGCTTTTCTATAACAGATCTGGTTCATACAAAATTCATGCTTTACTGATTTTCATTTTTTTGGGAAGTTTGGCAAAACGCTAATTGAAAATGCTAGGTATGGTCCAGAAAACAACTGTTGCGAATCACCTTTATTTCATGTGTTACGCGTCCGCTTTTTCTGAAACGACTGTTACCGTACAATCGTGTTTTAACCATCCTAAAGGAACAGCTACCCGAAAGTACCGGCCGCTTTTGCCTGCTTAATTCGAAAGTAACGGGACCGTTACTTTCGGAATTCTACCGTAAGTTACTGGCCTCGTTTCGCCAAACAAACAAGCCGCCCTATCTCTTGAGCCCCTCCTTCCCCCACCCGCTCTCCCGCCACCAACCAGGGAGGGTGAGAGGGGGTTAAATGAGGATTTACAATTACGGTAGTGTTAGCTGAGTGAACTTCAGTCTCGTGATGATTCGTAAGTATATAGTGACCTTAAAAATTTGCTCAACGAATCATCTCTCTTATCTCAAAGTCTCTAGAGAAAAGACATTCATGGATTGTATCAGTTGTAATACAAATTATTCAGCGGTTCTCTTACCCTAAAAACAGTTTCGCAGAATGAATTAAATAGCCGCCTCACGTTCTCGCCTCCTTCCAGGTCGGAAGTATTGTTAAAGAGAAGTTCGTGTAGCTGTTTGATGAGGTTATTCTTTAGTTTCATCGCAACCGCCCCTTTTCCCTCATCCGACTCAGGGACTTCGCTGTCCTCAAGTTCTCTTAGCATTTCATCGACCTATTTCGATTAAAAAACCATGTAACATTGTTAATTTGTAAGTAAACACCGGAGGGGTGGATAGGAGACTAATGGTTAGGAGGATAAGTTCTGGTGTTGTGGCCACGCCATCTGTTTACCTCTACTTTTCTTTTTCTCATTGTTCGCACCAGAATTGGAATCTCCGTGACCAATTTTTCGGCCAGTAAAGATATCATGGTGTCCATTAATCGATCAATGCCACACACATGTTGGATATCGCTGTACTGTGGGTGATTCGCGAACCACTCTTTCTCCTTTATACGGGTCATTTCAGCGTCCCAGTCCTTTTCTTTCGGATCTGTACCATCTTTGCCTGGTTTGTTGAGGGTAAAAAAAGAAACTAATTAACTTCTACCTGTGGTATCGAGTTAAAGATTTGTATACAAAACACTCAGCTGGAGGCACAGTGGCCTCATGGTTAGTGCCCTCGTCTCTGGATCAAGAAATCCGGGTTCGAACCCTGGCCGGGGACACTGTGTTGTGTTCTTG